GAAGCCTGCGCTATTTGGAAGCAGCCTATATATGGCCGAAGGAACCCGCCCTATGGAAGCACATTGACCGCGTGGTAGTGTCAAGTGCCCTTGTAATCTGGTGCCTACCTTTAATTTGTAATGTGTTTAACTTCCCCTAGTTTCTTTCCTACTTGATTCTTTTAGTTAGTATCTCTCATCTGATCATTAGCTGCACTGAACTATGACCTTTGCTGCTGGGTATTGAAATTCTGTATAGATTCAAAATGTTCTCTGCTCCCATTCATTATATGTTTCAAACAAAGACGGCTGGCAGTTGAAAAGCAGCACGAAATCTGTTGGAACTAATAAATCCAGCCATTTATGTCTGCTTCAAATCAATTTTGCATTTTTTAAGCTTATATACCGGGTTTTCCCTTAAGTTTGATAGTTTTTCCAATGCTAACGTGTCGGCAAACCTCTTGTCAAAAGAATATTAGCAATCCTATTAGATACAATGTTAGATAATCAGCAGAGATTGCACTACCTGGCGCTTACAGACATGCCTTTTAATATGGTCTTTAAACTCATTAAATTCAGCCCGCAATGTCGCGTGACTTTATTGAAGAATGTCTCATAATTCTGTCGTATCAGAAGTGCTTGCAAAAAGAGAAAACTTCTTTTTCTAAAACCTTCCAGTTCTATGCCGGCATTTCTTTTCGGAATGAACAGCTCCAAGTTTTTAAGAACATAAATGCATTTAATAAATTTAAATTTTTCTCCTCTCATAACTTCCCCTACGCTGGCTTTAATTGGGTATGTTTAAGTTCAGATTATTTGTGCGCAGGAGATGATAACGACCAATATGCTAGTTTGCTGTCCGCTTTGTCATGACAGCTAGGTTCTGCCCCTTCCAATGCACTGCTGCTACCGTTTTGCGTTAGTTTCCCTTGCACTCTTCCCCTCCCACCTCTCTCTCTATCCAATTAAATTAGAATCTGGATGCATTTCGGGTACTCTGTCTAAGTGGCATGCAAATATGACATAAAAAAGGAGAGGATATTTTTGGTTTATGTTGAAGCGAGCCCTCTAATTGGCTTTCTAAAACGTATCGTGAGAAAAAGCAACACGGCACTTAAGCAAAAAATCTACCGCTACCAGCACAGGACCCAGTAAATTGACTCCAATTTTGTCTAGATTTTGTTTTTTTAATGTTTAAGCCCTGGATTACTTAGCGCTTAGGATCTGAGAAATGTTTGCCCGAATATCTAGTCCCGAAAGCCTAGGTTTGGGTTTGGCTGCCTGCAAAGGGATAATATATCATCAATGGGCACTCCGGTATCTTTTTCTTTGTATGCATCCCATCATACACCAAAGAGTGGCTACGCATTTTTCTCGAGTGTTAGTACATTCGCAAAAACCAAATGAGTAGAAAAGTCGTAATAACGGTTTGATAACGAAAGCTGTGCAGCAACCTATGGAGGACGCTACGTCGCTAACACCTGGTGACCCGTTAGAGGGAGGGGAGACCACTAATAAATCATGAAAGATCAACATAAACTGACTATGTTTATGAAATTGAATTGCTTACACATCGCTGTATTGGTGACTAGTGGCAATGCGATTGGCCGGACAATGGCCCTGTAGGTAGCGAAAAAGCCCATGTTTGATGCGACAAACCAAGTAGATTATTTTCTCTGTTCCTGCCACTGCCAATTTGACTTCAGGATCAACTGCTAAACGGCAAATTAGGATACTCCCAAATGTGTACTATTTCCTCTACATCGCAGTAGAATATTGTTAAATATTGCACCATGCATCTATCAAATAATGCCACTTTTCCTGCGTTCAGCAAAGCATCCCCTGGAAGGCAATTTTCACCTCGATGCCAGTCTACGCCATCATCATTGCGAACATTGCTAGAAGTTGGTCCTTCTTCCTTCTCATAATGATGTCACCGACGTATCTGAAGGACTGCTTTAACTACACCACGGCTGAGGTAAGCCAGATAATTGAAGTGAATATGTGCCAGAGGAACTTTCTGATGGCAAGCACTTAAATATATTCGTGTTATGACTTTACACAATACAAGATTCAACGCGAAGATTTTAAAACGATCGTCCCATGCTTCCCTCTTCTGCAAAATACAGTTTCTAGAGCTCCGTCCTGAATGTATACCTGAGGATTTCATGCAAGCCGAAACGTACGTGTACAGACTTCTGCACGATTTAACTGGCTTTTGCACATTTGGCTCGGGCGTGCAAAGCCAGGGTATTAATCGAATGATCTTCAGAATATCCTTTCTGCAGTCAGAACCTTAGCATTTGTGGTGCACCCCCAGCTGATCGTGGAAAGTTGGTTGCCCAGCTGCTATATTCCACTGAAGGTTTTTTAGTAGATAAAGTCTTCTCGCAAAAAATGATATGTGTACTTACCTCACGAACCTCATGTACTTGTAGGTGTAGGTATTTAATTAAAGTAAGCACGGAAACCTCGGTTACTTAAATTTAAATACTGAAGAAATCTACCAAACAAAAGAATAAGTTATATCACAAATTTTCTTTTTGCGTTTAAGCGCATGCTTAAATTATCCGTATGGTCGGATACGAAAATAGTTATGGCTTATTTCAGGTTGTCTTGCTCTGAATTTTATGCAAACATATACATTATTCTGTTCATTAACTTCAACGTGCCTGGAATGTTGCATAAGGCTACCTGTTATATGGCGGTGAGACTTATTTACACTTTTCACAGTCTTCACGATTATCCTATGTGCTATTCGGAAATGCCAGGGGCATGAAGTCATTACTGGAAATAACGAGTCAGCTTTCTCACAGAAAGGCATATCTCGAATTGTCAAAATATATCTGGTCTGGATCTGTTTGGGATACAGCCTGAACAACACAACTTATATTCACCAGCCCTTACGGTATGTCAGCGTTTTCTAAGTAAATATCGCAACAGTTCATTAGTTTCAGGTTGTAACACAAAAGAAGTGGGAAAGTACCAAAATAATAAACTATTTACCACATTTCCCACACAGGTACTGATTTGATAATGCTGCAAGGCACAGCTTCAAGTGGTTCGGCTCATCAGCGTTCGCCCTGTGCTTCCTGATATATGCCCCTGTCTTGTTATTCTCAGAAATGAATGCAAAATTTACATTAGATGCTTCGGATAAAGAGTTTAGGCCCGCCTGGAAAGGTTCGGAAGGATCTGTTTCCAGTTTTAAGGAAATTGACAAGCTCCACATAGTAAAGATGGGTTTGCGTACCTCACGTACGTCCTATGGAGCGACTGGTATATCAAAATCTTACAAGAAGTAGTACCTGCAATCTAATTAAAACTTTTTTTACGAACTGTTATTGAAAAACAACGCCTTTCCTTTCGGAATAATCGAGAACTATCAGAAAATAGTTGCTAATCAAGCAGTACTTTTTACCAAGCGTGATCTGCTAAACGTAGTAGATGACCAGCATTGTAGAATTTAAATGCTTTCCAAAGTACGGTGTGAAAAATGGGTAGGACACGCTGAGATGCGTTTGTCACAATGCTGATATTTCTGATATAAAAACACAACTTTCCGCAAAATCTTGCGCAGAGGAAATTGTGTACTATCTTCACTTCATTATCTTTACTATCATCGAAAGAGACCAGTTCTCCCCCCATCACCTTATTTTTCCTCCTCCTCGTCCTCCTCCTTCGCCTGATAGTCATGACGGAGACGTGTCTTGAGCCACACACACGATATTCTGCGTGTTAGCCCAACTGCTTTAAACCTTGCCTTAAAAGTGCACTTTGCATTCAATGTTAATGTGTCCCTTTTTAAGCTTAATTTTACGAAAACATGACGGGACATCACAGTGTGTCTCTACACGCGACCCTTGTCCATAACTGATTCTTAAAGCGGTGAAAAGATGTTGTAGGGGCTTCACGGTAGTAAACACTAGTGGTATACATTATCAGTTCCTACCTCATAGCATGATGGGCAACCGCTGATAAACTTCACAGATCGCCTCCGAAGAGTTTGTTAAGGATAAAATATTATTAAATTACTACTTACCTTTAATAATTGTTGTAAGGTTCTTATATAAATAAAGCCAAATAAAAACAGCTGGCTAACTTTATGTAGTCTTACCCATAATAAAGTCCTTAAAAATGATATACATTTAGTCAAGGTCTTAATTGGAAAGATGGTTCACTCATTGGCAAAAATGATCTCTTTTTAGTCCGGCATTCTCTCCTCCTTGCCGCATCTGTTTATGGCAATCATTGTGCCCATCAGCGGTCAGCTGGCGGATAGACTGCGCAAAAAGACCCTTACCACCACTGCTGTCCGAAAAATTTTCAATTGTGGAGGTAAGAGACCTTGCTTCTTCCCCGGTAACAAGCGTTTTTGGCTTTGTAGCAGAACGACAATTAGACCTACACTCTGCCGCATCGATGCCACTGGCATCACTGACTGCCTTTACTCATTCCATTTTTGCATTATTGAATTTTCGCAGACAATTCTTCATTCTGATTGAGTAGTAATAATAATAACAGTAACAGTATTAGTAGTTTTGGTAGTGATGGAAGAAGTATTAGTGACAATGATAGTATTAAAAGTATAATTAGTAATAACTTTTGTGGTAGTTGTAGTAATAGCAGTCGTGTTAGTTATTGTGGTACTAGCATTAAACGTAGTAGCCGGTGTAATATCAATAGTAGTAACGGGAATAGTTGCTAAGGGAGAACATAAGTATTGCTGATACCAGCTTTACTAGGAGTGATTGTAGAAGCAGTTGCCAATGTAGAAAACGGTTAAGAAGTAGTAGTAAAATTAGTTAAAGTAGTTAAAATAGTATCAGTACGGTTCGTGGTTATCGCAGTATTAATATTACTAACAGTGATGAAATTATTGGTTATAATGCCAGCTGTCGTGGAAGTGGTACAAATATTAGTAGTATCGTTGGTAGTAGTGTTAGCAGTAGTGATAATAGTAGTTGTAATAGTATAAGAAGTGCCAATGATATTATTACTAGTAGTAGTCGAAACAACAGCAGGATTGGGAAATGTTAGCAATAAAAATAGAACAAATGTGGTGATAGCAGTAGCACAAATATCATAAACGTCTACTACCTTGTGCTCTTATCATGCTTTTCTGCGACTTTTTTGATAGCAGACCAATCAGTTTGTTCTGAGTAAGAGTACCATTTGGGAAAGTAGTCTTTGTGTTCTTGACAGTCATAATGTGAACGAATATTATATAGTGTTCCTCATCAAATGAAATAACAAAATTATATTCACCTGGTGATGACAATGATCCTTTGTGTCAGACCTCGGAAACTTCAGTGCTCTTTTGTTTCGCTTCGTGCAGTCTACACAACTGCCACCCCCTAGCGGTTGGCTATTGTCCGCGTCAACGGCAGATAGCAGCTAGTAGGTAGCAAAAGCTAATTGACAGGCTCTTTATCCAACAGCAGGCCTAATTTTGCTGCCGAAGAACGTGATTGGAAACGCCATCCCCGAGGGTATTGAGGAGGAAGTTTACTGTGCGAACTGTCTCTAGCATATAATATTTTGTCGTAATATTTCTATTGAATGTGCAAATTAATTCAACAGGACTATAACCATCCCCCCACCACTGAACTAAACCCTTGGACCGTGCTGTTGCCCGTTAATGCGGCAACCCCGAACCCACCTCGATAAATGACGTTCATCTTGCCCATGCGAGCGGTACCCGTAGCAGCAACGGACATTTTAGAAACAAACGCAGCAAAAAAGTTGGCCGCACTAGTAGTAGTAACCATATTTATACGATAAGCGGCGTAGTGGTAATGACGTTGTGACGTAGTGGTGACAGTAGCTATATTTTGCTCCTCTAAAAATTACCTATTAAAACGATTGTCACCTGGCAATGACGTGCTTCTTTTGTGTAATTTGCAGAGTCCTTCTAACTGTCGATTGTCTCACCTCGTGCTGTCTAGACAACTGCGAGCCACCTGGTCGATCAGCCCTTAATCTCATAGCTTCTGTGGTCGACCATTCTCCGCATCGACGATCAGTTGCAACCATTAGATCACAAAAGCTAACTGGCGGGTCCTTTATTCAAAAATTGACATAACCAAAATAAACTTGTAGCAGTAGACAGCATTTTTCTGTTGGAAAACAAGACTAGAAACCCCATCCACGAGATTTCGAATGGACAAGATTTGTGTACCAATGACCTACCAACCTGGACTGTTATTTAACTCCCTCCAAAAGGCCGCTGTGCTGAAATTCGAATATTAACACCCCGTTTAAATCAATCCCAGACCGCACTTTATCCTGTGAAACAGCAATCCTCATTATCACCTCAAAGAATTTACTGAATACTTTTCAGGACGTCTGTAAGAACGCTACCAGTAGAACCAACTCCTAGCTAGTGTCATCCCATATTAATGCTCCAATTTCTAAACAGCGCCTATCTTACTAAACCTTGAGTCTTTTTACCGTTGGGGCTTACCTTATAACCCTAGGTAATTATGCCTAGAAGTAAATACCTGTTATGTGGACATATGAACTAGCAACATTGTCTTCTTCTCTTCAAACCGGAAAATAATTAAGGTGAACACACAGACTTCAGGGTAGATAGTTTCGAAGGTAAATTGAATCGCTGTGGTCTAATGAACTTTTTATATGAAACCTCCTGTTAAAAATATCCTTTTCGTAGCCGATAACTGACAACAGTAAGTAGAAGTCATGTACTCAGGACATTGAATGGAAAGTTGGATATACTTTAGTCCTGCAAATAAATGGTCCGAGAAGTAGTAGCATAAATCATGGTAGTTTTGGTATTGGTAATTGTTGTGAGGTAAGTGCCAGTAGTTGTAGGCCACCTGAGGAATTTTTTTCCAAATAGCTAGCATTTAAAAGTAAGTTTCTTGCGGACAATATGGAACCCCTTTCTCACCTTCGCTCTTGTTAACTCTCGTTGGTATTTTCATCCCTTGCAGGCTTCGGCATGGAAGCAATTCTCCTACTGGTGGTTGGCTATGCAGACAATGCACACACCGCGATGATCGCCCTCATTTTCGCCGTATCCTTTAGTGGATTCGCCATTTCAGGTAGGAATTGTGCCATCAACTCCTTATTCTAACCTCTCTTTCAATTCCCAGTGGTATGTTTAAAGTGGTAAAAGGCCAGTACACATAGTGCATATGCAGTTTATTTTTGGGCAGTTGTCGCTTTGATCAGTCTTCTAGAAAATGTAAAAGGGATAGACATTTTAAGATTTTAAACGGAATGCTTAATAGGTAAACATTATTTCGCACTAAGTCCATAATCTTGAGCATTCCAGGGTTAATTTTAAGAACCTGCCGCAAATTAGGAGAAATCGAGAGTATGTGGTAAGAATCGTTTAAAATGTTTTGAGTTTATACCCTAAATAAGACCCAAGTCAGGTTACCGAAGCACCTTATTTTCGGGTAAAACTTTACCTTTGACTTAAAAAGGAAACAATGACTTAACATAAACATTGAGCACGGCATCGTTAAAAAGTTAATTTGTCACAATAGCGCATTTACAGTCTGGCCTAATATTGTTAATCCCTATACTAATTACTTGGCTTTTGTTTCAAGAGGCAGTTATAGCAAGGTCAAACCAAATAACCACTACGACTGTACATTCAATAACTTATGTTTTTTGTCATTGTTATGAAGGTGAACCAGGTAAAAATCACAATTCGACGAAGTCACTTAACAAGCTCTTTCACGAGTTGAACGTGGACTGTCACATAGCCACAAAAGTTGAGTTCCCGGACCCGGAGTATATGCCAAATGTTCCTTACAATTCATATTATTCTAACGCGTATAGACTTCGATTCAAACTTGACACTCAGACCGATCGGGCTCGCGCCGAGATGAAATGTGGCCGTCTGCACGGGTCTGTATCAAACTTTTAAGCAACCATAGCACGCACTTTGTCCGCAGGGGTACAACAATTCACGGGTACGAAATCCCATTGAGAACCAAACATACACCAGCCTTCGAAGAATTCTATAACCGAACCTTAATTCAGGAGCCCATAAGCACAGAACACTCGCGGTTATATTCCTGCGCTAAATAAGTATTTACACGTTTACAATGTTGCCAAGTCTACTCACCTGGCACGGTGTACATTTCAACGTTTATCGATAGGTAGAGCTGTTTCCATCAAGACAACCAGCTCTCGGCAGACATTAAAGCGGTAAAATTGATTTGACATGCCGAAAGACAGTCAAATACACCGATAGTTCAGCTTTTGGGAATGTCGACATTCACCACGTGCCCCATGGAATGAACTTAGGAACAATTACCCGCGCATTAGTAAGTTTATAGTGAGGCGGACTTCTGATGCATCCATTGTACATTCTTCCCCTCATCTACCTTACATCGATGACATTATAGTGTCAACCTGACTGGCTATAGACGCGAGTGCAGTGTTTGTGGACGTTATGCAGCCACACATGACCTGGTTGCTGTAAAATACGTCAGGATGTCAAAGAATGATGCAGCTCTAATTCCATATCCGTTGGATTTTCATAAAGACCACATAAAGAAGAATCCGCTGCAGCCTGACGCCCAGTCTTCAGAACGACCGAGTTTACACGTCAGTGGGCACCCTTTCCAATCCCTATATTTAGCGCGTCGTGATAGGTTCAGTCACGTCAGATTTATTTGACTGAGGAAGGCGCTGACATGCCGTGAGGAGCGAAGCTCCAATCTCAACTTAATTCTCACTTTCTGGTTCCTGAAGTCGATTGGTTTATACCAGTAGAAGATGATACGATCACTGGAACACAACTTTTATTTTCCTGACGTTTTGGATTCTGTCGAGAATCCTTACTCATGGGATACACCCTAAAATGGTGTAATACATGCACAAATTGCGTGGTACTTATAGTTTTTAGCGGCCATCCGCGTGCGCACTATAATTATCAGCTGCTGTAACCACCGCTTGGGGTCTTAATTGGTGCGGTGCTAGCTTGACCCTTCGCTTTCGAGTCATTAATCGCCGCTATTTCGTTGTCCATGTCGAATGCGGGCTTGATAATTGTGCGACAACTATGTTTGCTGTCGTCAGAATTGTTGCAAGACCCGGTCCTTCCCACGTGATTGATTCTCTTCCTCAGGCAATGTGGCAGTACGCAGTATGGGAACGGCAAATCGTTGCGCTTGCTGATGAATTGTTGGCCTAAGAACCATGGCTCGAGCAGCTCGCGTCTCACGCGGTTTTAATCTTCTGCGAGGAGTTCGGCCTCCTTGAACATTAAAATATGGTCCGGTCCCGTCGAGTGAACCGCAACCTGGAAATTAGTGTCCTTGATTCTCACCGCCGCTGCGTGCTCGGCCATTTGCGTCTGGAGTAATCTCCCGGTTTCTCCGAAGTAGTTGCTCCGTCCACAACAACACCAGATCCGGTAAATGACTCCAGCCGTGGCAG